GCTTCATTGGAATTGGGTTGTTTATATTTGGGTGGTGTTTTGGGTGAAATAGATATAAAAAAAGCAAAAAAACACTTAAAAAAGGCAGCAGAAAAAAATGTTGAATATTCTCATTATTTTTTAGGAATACTGTATTCGATTCAAGGTAATGGTAATAAAGCAAATTTTGTGAAAGCTAAAAAGCATTTTGAAAGTGAAAAATCATGCCAATATCTTGCTGATTATTTTTTACAAAATTATCAGGTATTAGATATAGATTTTTTTCGATATTGTCAGACAAAGATGTTTTATAATTTTGATTCATCATTGGATACAGGAATGTTATCATTGATGAATGCTAAAACCGAGCAAGAATTCTATGATGCAAAAAAAGATTTTAAGTCATCTACAAATCCAATGGCGAGTTTATTTATAAATATGTTTTGTAAAGAACAATGTGACAATGAATTATTCATAAAATTTTCTGAATTACAAGCAGAACAAAATGATTCAAAATCACTTAATATTTTAGGAAATCTTTATTTGAATGGTCTTGGAGTTGAACAAGATTATTCAAAGGCAAAATATTATTTTGAATTAGCAGCAAAACAAAATGATTCAAAATCACTTAATAATTTAGGAGTTCTTTATTATAATGGTCTTGGAGTTGAACAAGATTATTCAATGGCAAAATATTATTTTGAATTAGCAGCAAAACAAAATGATTCAGATGCACTTAATATTTTAGGAAATCTTTATTTGAATGGTCTTGGAGTTGAACAAGATTATTCAATGGCAAAATATTATTTTGAATTAGCAGCAAAACAAAATGATTCAAAATCACTTAATATTTTAGGAGTTCTTTATTTGAATGGTCTTGGAGTTGAACAAGATTATTCAATGGCAAAATATTATTTTGAATTAGCAGCAAAACAAAATGATTCAGAATCACTTAGTATTTTAGGAAATCTTTATTTGAATGGTCTTGGAGTTGAACGAGATTATTCAATGGCAAAATATTATTTTGAATTAGCAGCAAAACAAAATGATTCAAAATCACTTAATATTTTAGGAAATCTTTATTTGAATGGTCTTGGAGTTGAACGAGATTATTCAATGGCAAAATATTATTTTGAATTAGCAGCAAAACAAAATGATTCAGATGCACTTAATATTTTAGGAAATCTTTATTTGAATGGTCTTGGAGTTGAACGAGATTATTCAATGGCAAAATACTATTATGAATTAGCAGTAAAACAAAATGATTCAGATGCACTTAATAATTTAGGAGATCTTTATTTGAATGGTCTTGGAGTTGAACAAGATTTATCAAAAGCAAAAGATTCCAGCAAATTGTCGGTAAAACAAAATGAATCAAATGCATTAAATATTTTAGAAATTCTTCATAAGCTTGGCTTTGGAGTTGGGCATGATTATTCAAAAGCAAAATATTATTATGAATTATCAGCAAAACAAAATAATCCATCGGCACTTATATTGCTAGGAATTTTAGAATTTAAAGATAATTACTTTACTACAAAGTATTACTTTGAACTTGCAGCAAAACAAAACCATCCATTTGGGGTTTTTTTTAGGAAGTATGTATACATTTATGGAGGCAATGAAAGACATATCAAAAGCAATTCAATATTTATTGAAATGTTACAATATTGAGTATCCATGCCAATACACGAATCCTATCGATGGAAAAGTACATTTTCCTAATGTTTTCCGTTATCGTTCAAGTAATGATCTTGGATTGATCTATATAACAATTTTAGATGATCATGAAAAGGCAAGTATTTATTTGAAAGAAGCTGCATTTGCTGAATATCCATTTGGTCAAAGCAACTGGGGATTGTTCAATGAATTTTTCTTAAATAACTGTGAAAAAGCTGAATATTTCTATAAAAGGTCATCAGAACATAAATTTGCTCTTGCCGAATACAATCTTGGCCATTTATATGAAAAAAATGGCAAAATTGAAGAATCAATTAAATATTACATTCTAGCTTCCGATCATATAAATGAGTTATTATTTTTTCATAATATGCTTCATTCTGATTTCAATCTAGAAATCTCTAAAGAATTTGTCATTTCTTATTCAGATATCAAACTTGTCAAATATTTTTTATTAAAGCACAACTTTGATGATGCCAAAAAGTATTACCAAAAAGTTTTTAGTAGAATAAAAAATGATAAATATCTTTTTCAGTTTTGCTTTCCCAAAGACAAATCAAAAAATGTGTTTTCTTACCTAAAAGCATTCATTTTTGGATATCCTAAATTTAATATAACAAACCAACCAAATGTAATATTAGATCCAGGCTTTCAAAAAGAAATAGAAGATATTCAATCAGGAAATGAAATTGGTATTTATTCAAATGAAAAGACAAAGAAAAAGCAAAGTGAAAAAAAAGTGAATGATAAAATGAAAAGCAATGAAGGTTGTGATTCAGAATATTTAGAAATGAAAAATCTGAAAGAATATGAAAAAATGGAACAAATTAAAGAATATTTTTATCAAATTGAAATGATTGAAGAAATTAATAAATATCCTTCATTTGAGCCGAATGATACAAATGAAAACATAAATAATGATATTAACAATCAAAAAAAGCCATTGTTTGATAATCCAGAAAATCTGTTTGATTATATCATTGATAATAATGAAAGAATAATGAATACATTCATTGATGAACTTGATGATATCATGGACACATTTGAAAATATTTTATATACATATCCATACTCTATTTTATTTGGAAGAATTTCAAATTTCAAACCAAAACCCAAACCCAAACCTAAAGAAGTTTTTTATAAGAATATGAAAGACATTAACAATATATTTTATGAAGGATTTGGAATTAAAATTCAATAAAAAAAAAATCAATATTAAAGTCCATTGAACACATAGGATTTTCAGTTTTTGAGAGCAATGAGTGGTCAAATCTCAGATATTTTTAGAGCTGAGAACTAAAAAAAAAAAAAAAAAAAAAAAAAAAAAAAAAAAAAAAAAAAAAAAAAAAAAATTATACTGGATTTAAAAATTCGTATGGTGAAATTATACCTCAACTGTATTTTAGAATTCAAAAAATAAGCATTCAATCTAGGAAAGAAAAAGAAGTTTTAAATCTTCACACTTTGAACTATGGAATGCGTTTCAACGCTCAATGATGCAATCTATTTATTCCTAGGAACAAAACGTATCTGATTTTCCTTTTTTCTATGGTTTCGGGTGATAAAAAAATTGAGACCTAAAAGTTATATGCTATATTTAAAATCTGTACGAATTTTGAAATCCAATTTATAAAATTATCTTATTAAAATTTCCTTAAATTATGTTTTTAATTTTTTTGGACAACTCAAAAGAAATTTTGAAAGTCGAAAAATGTAAACCTTTGAATATCTCTCAATTTGTTGTACAATTGTGGAATAGAAAAAAATGAATATTATAACTAATGTTATCGATAATGAAAGATAAACAAAACCACAATTTACATCACAATCATCATTAGCTGCAATTTTTCAAATATTTGTTGAATTTCTGTATATTTTTTTCTAAACTGCGAGTCATTTTTTGAAAAAAATATACAAAAATGATTTTTGCATACAACACCATTTTTCTGAAAAATATTGAATAATGAAAATAATCATCTCAATTTTGAAATTAATAATTAAACTAAGTTTTTTTATTATTACCATATTCACAAAAAAATTTAGAGTTTTATATTCAAATTTTCTATGAGTCTTCAGAAAGTAGAACGATAAGTAGGGACAAATTATTTAAAAAATAAATGAAGTAGCTTTTTGAAAGGTGTAGCCTTCAAAAAGCTACTTCAATTTATGTTTAATTATCTGTTTTAAAACTTTTTGAGTATTTTACAAAACTCAAAAAGTGATACCTAGATAATTTTTAATATACCATATCTTTCAATTTTGAGAAGATGAAAATAAAAAAAAAAAGAATATAAAAAAGTTATTTATTCAGGAAAAATGCATTTTAAATAGCTTTGGGAGCCTTTGTGGGCTAAGTCCAATTGGTTAAGGTAATAGCGGGAGCCTCAACCTGAGATGAATGAAAGTAATCATGCCATTATAACTTAAAAAAAAATATTTAGCTTTATTCAAATTTGAGATGACGATAAGACGGGACAAAATTTTAGTTTATTGATTTTCAATAATAAATTGAAAATTGAATTGTATGCAAAAATGAAAAACAGTTTATTCCAAATTCTGGGCAACCTGTAAAATAAAGACCAATCAAATCTTTGTATTTCCATCAGTTACAAACATTGGGGTCCATTCCTTCATTAGTGACTGAGATATCGAACAATGTATTTCATTGAATGATATTGAAATTCAATCTCATTGCATTCAGTAAATTCTAATTCCTGCATTAATGCCATCAATTGATGATTATGCCTTCTTTGGTTGTTCTTCATTTCAGCAAATCTCGATCCCTTTGGAATTGACTGAAATTGATGATTTTGAATTCTTTGGTGTTTCTTCTCTGAGAGAAATTAAAATTCATTCATTAATAATCAAAATTTGGAGTAATGCCTTCTGCTGTTATTCTTCTTTATCTCAAATTTTAATTCCACCTTCTGTCCTTGAATTAAAAAAAAAAATCTTTTAATGGTTGTTTTTCATCGGTTGAAACAATATTATATTATTTTATATTAATTCCTTCTTCTGCTATTTTTATAGGTGAGAAAGCGTTCTATAAATGCTCTTCTCCAATTGAAATAGAAATTCCTTCTTCTTTCAATGCAATTGGTAAAAATACATTTAATTCTTGTATTAATTCGTATGGGAAAATTACAGATGATAAAAACTGTTCATTTAAGCAAGATTTTAGTAATTCTTCTATAGAGAGATTTGAGAAACAGATTCAATTTTCAATTGATTCTGATTGGATTTGAATTAATTTTAATGTGGTTGTAATGTTAATTTAATGAGTCAAATTATTAGTAAAAACAAAAAAGCTATATTATTTATTTTTTTCATAAAAAATGTAAGCCTCTGTAGTTCAATGGATAGAATAATTGCGTACGAAGCTATTGATATGGGTTCGATTCCCATCGGGGGTATTTTTTCATATTTTTTTTTAGAATTATTAGAGAAAAACAGCAATTGATCTCAAGTTTTCTGCATTATTCATGGTGTGATTATTTATCAATTCAAAAAAAATGTGCAAACAGTATTGGTTTGATATAGATTTCCCTACTTTTTATTGTAAGAAACAAAATATCAAGAACGAAATATATTAAAAAGGCTTATATAAATTATTATATTTCAACAATTTATTCATAAAAACAAATAAATGATATATTAAAAAATCAATCAATTCAAATATCTATCAGATAATTGAAATCCACGACAAACGCGCGGAGCATATTGGTCTATGTAAAAATAAAGATTATCTGGTAAATTTGAGATGAAATTGCGTGCAAAAGGTAGAAACTGTAAAAAGTGAACTCGATCGTGCCAAAAAGTAATATTTTTCAAGTTTGTAATAAAAGAACGGCAAGCATACAAATTCGTGGGGAAAACAGTTGGACATTTTTCAATATTTGAAGTATTTGATAGTATATCTGTAATTTTTTTATAGTTTTGAAACTGGTGGCCTACGAAAAAGCGGTTTGTCATGCTTTTAAAAGTATAATTTCTGTCATGAAGCCAACATCCGATTGATGTATCATCATTTTTGACAAATAAACAAATTGTTGAGAAATGATCATACGTATTATTTAATTCAATAGCTGATTTACGAGAAAATAATATGCCTGAACCGCCTTGTATGTAAGAATAAATTCGACGATGTTTATGAATGCAATGTCCTTGAACTAATTTATCATGGATTGGATCAGTATTTAAATTGAGTTCTGTGAAAAATGAGTCAAATGCATTCATATTTATAAATGTGTCATCGCAAAGCCGTAAAAACCAATCTGCTTTAGAATTATTAAGAAAATCGTTAATAGCAATATATAATTTGGCGCATAAATGATTCCGTGAAATATCCTTCGATGGGATTTGACAATTAACGTAAGATTTTTTGATAAATAAGTTATTTGTATTAGGGATGACACCAGTACTATATAATTTTATTGTATCACAGTATGATTTTGAGAGGAAATCTTTTAGCCAAATATCATATAACTTTTCAATAAGCCGTATTCTAGCTCCTCCTGTCATAATTGCAACAAAAATTGATCTGTGAATAGTAATATTCATTGAAAAGAGAAATTTATCTTTAGTTGAAGATGTAAATTCATATCTTAGGAATATAATGATAATGATATAAATTACTAATATGAATTTAAGATAGAATTTCTCCATATTCCTGCTTCATTCAATTAAACTCATCCATTTATCAAAAAGTTAATTAACTTTGAGGAATTATTAAACATATCTTAATAAATATATAATTAGCATTTAATTTATATCATTAATTAGCTATAATTCAGGCCAAATCTCTTTAAAAGATAATTAAAAAAACTTTGAGTTTTGGTTTGATCAATATCATGTATCGCTCACAAATCTTGAGTAATAAAAGACAATATATATAAATATAAATTTTATTTACAAACAAACTTCAAAATATAAAATAAAAAACATCAAATAATACTATCAATATAATTTTCTTGATTTTGAGGAGAATGTTGTTCAATATCTATTTCTTGATGATAAAAATAATTTTGTCTGACAAACTGTATCATTTTTGGCAAGGTACTTTTCTCAGATTCAAATTTTTTCCCAAGCCTTTCAAGAGCGATTTTGTAATCAAGAAATTCCGATTGAGTCTTTTCAAGCCCCAAATAAGGTGTATCAGGCTCATCAGAATCAATAAAAGTAAGACCAATATTTTCCAATTCAAAATCAGTTGCGCCTGAAATAGCTGCAATATATAAGAGGTACCAAATCATTTTGAGAGCATCTGGTGGAATTTCTGTTGGATAACAAAGAATAATGCGATCAACAATGGCAAAAATGTCTATTCTTAAATTAACAGATTTCTCTTTAGTTGGCTGAACTTCGCCATAATAACCTGCGAATAAAGAAAGACTATCATTAATAAAATCTACAAGCAAAAGAATTGGTAGTTCTGGCTTATCCTTAATACGAAAGGCGAGGTTTTCTAGATATAATATCCAACAATGTAAAGGCTCAGTGATTTTGTTTGTTCTGGGTCCAGTCCAATCATTACAAGTAAAACAAATAAATATATATTTTCTGATAAACAAACGTTGCTCTTCAATAACTGTTTGAAAAATAGAATCAATTGATTCTCGTAATATGTCTAATTGGTGGAGAAAAGGAGATGTTGAAATAACGCAAAGTTTGTATAATTTGTTAATCGCATGCTTTTCTTCTTCGTTTAAATAATCTTGAATTACATCTACACAAGTTTGCTTTAGTAATGTGTTAGGGCAATGAAGATGCTCATGAATAGCTTCAACAAGCCAAACAAATCTGTAAGGATCAAAATCTTGAAGTTTGATAAACATTGAAAGTAATTTACGAATGAGTTCTAAGTATTGAGGTACATTTGAAACATAGGTTGGCTCTAAACGACATGCTGATACAAAGCCTGCAATAGCATAAAAAATATCGACAAGTGCCTCTTCATTCATAATATTTTTGAAATCACATAGCCTACTCGTGTAGAAAGAATCAAATCCAAATTCAAAAAGCATAACAGGTGAAAAAAAAGCTGTTGCAATCATTTGTGACTGATTTAACGTTACCTTTAATTGTGTACCAGTTAAAGAATTCATAACGTCCCATAGTTGTTTTTTATCTTTAATTATATCATCTAGAATGCGAAGATGTTGTATATAATCATCAAAACTTGCTGTTGTTTCCAATTCTTTGATTTTTTCATCAACCGCAAACTGTTTTAAATCATTTAATTTGCGAGTAAATTCTTCGGAATTTCGTGTTGAATCAGAAAGCTGTTGAAAAGATGTTAAAAATTGAGAATAATCATGGGAATCAACGTACTTTTTGCAAAGCTTGCTTTTTTCGTCAAAATCAGATGGCGAAATTGCCATAATTATCAAGCTTTGCTGTAATATCAGATTAGTTTCAGTTTAAGATTTTCAGATTTTTAATACTCATTTATTATAAGAATTAAAGATTAAAAATGATGAATAAATTATTATATAATTATAAACATTTGTATATTAATTAATTTTGCAAAATATAATTAAATATATAAATATAAATTTAAAAAAAAAAAACAAATTTTAATTTTAATTTTTGTTCAATGGAAAAACGTACTATATCAGAAAAATAAAATATAAATATCTTTTTTATATTATAATATTTCTCAATCTGTGATAATTTAATATCATGTTAGTATATAAAATAGTTTATTTTTCAGGATAAAATAATAAATTACTAATTTTTTTTAAATGAAATTTTGAATTTAATCAGATAGTTAATAGCGAATCTATTGTATAATGAAATCAATACCTCATCGAATTCGATTGATTTTCAGGATTAATAAGATAAAACTGAAAGTTGTATTGGTATTCAACAAAGCAATAATGTTTATAATTTTCAAAAATCATTAATAATGCAAAATGATTTAAATTAAAGTCAAATATGATGATATACTCTTAAACCTGAAAGTATATCATATACCTGGCATTTGAGGTTTGTGCAAAAAAAACCTACATTTTTTATTTGATTTTGAAAGTTTCGTTCCTCAATACAAAGTTCAGTGAATGTAAAAAGTGACAATAAAGTTATTATGCATTTTCTTCGAAACGCAAATTAAATTTTTCAGAATAATTTTTATTTTTAATAGTTTTTATTTTTGTAAATATTTATTATTCAACTTTAATTCCAAAAAACTCACTATTGATTGGGGCATAGAAAAAATATGAACTTTTTTTTTATATATTTAATTTTATTCAATCAATTTGTTTGAATGACTTCTTCAGGCGATTAGTTTCTTTTTATTTCTAACATTCAGTGATTATCTCTTTAGTTTGTTTTTATTTTTCTAATACGTAGAAGTTCTTATTGTTGGAGAATCAGGCGTTGGTAAAAGTTGTCTTCTTATCAGATTCACAGAAGATATATTTATAGAGAATTATATATCTACTATTGGTGTAGATTTCAAAATTCGAACAATTACACAAGACAAAAAAGTTATTAAGCTTCAAATTTGGGATACAGCTGGACAGGAACGATTTCGAGCGATTACAAAGTCATATTATCATGGTTCTCATGGTATTGTTATTGTATATGATATAACAGATCGTAAAACTTTCGATAAAGTTCCAGATTGGATGGAACAAATTCAACAGAGCGATGATAATGAAAACACTTGTAAAATTTTAATAGGTAATAAATGCGATTTAGAAGATCGTAGAGAAGTTAAAATAGAAGAGGGTGAAGAACTTGCTAGACAGTACGATATTCCATTTATGGAGACAAGTGCAAAAGATTCCTTAAATGTTGATAACCTATTTCAAATGATGGCAACAGCAATGAAAGATAATGCTGGCGCTACAACAGCGGGAAATAGTAGTGATAATCAGGTCGCATCGTTTCAAGGACAGAGTATTCAACAAAAAAAGAAATGCTGCTAAAACTTATTAATGATTTTATAAAAAGGATTTTATAAAAATATTTTATTAGTTGATTGTTGTTTAATACTTTTATGCATTAAATATTCATTTTGTTTCAATTTAAAATAATGATAATATATCAATTGTTTAACATATATAAATGATATTTCTATTTTAGCAAAAGTATCATTTTTTATAGGTAAAACAAAGAAATTTTTGTGTTTTCTATAAAAAAAAATTCGAATATATGATAGAAATGTGATTTAATAATGACGATTAAAAACATTTCAAATAAATTATTCTGAATAAATTATATGAGATTTTTGAAATATTGTGATCTTCAGATACCAATTTCAGAGATTAAGAATTTTTTATATGGAAATTTCTAGATCATTGCATTTTAATTCCTCTAAAAAACTATTTATTGAAATTATTTATCTTTATTATTTGTATTTTTAAAATATAATTTATATAATATATGAAGTTATGGGGTAATTTTGAAG